TTATTTTTTCCGTCAGGAAATTTCACCATCGTTCTAGGTTGCTTCTCTCTTGGATTAGCTTCTGTCCATTGCTTCTTGTCCTGCCTGCAGGTGCTTTGGAGGATAATTTGACACCCTCTTCTTTGGGGCAGCCCCTGAGATATTGGAACACTGCTATCGTGTCACCCCTAGTCCTTCTCTTCATTAAACTAGACATGCCTAATTCCAGCAACCGTCCTTTATACGTTTTAGCCTCCAGTCCCAATTGTGATGTACCTTCCATGGAAGGATGGACATGTTCCTGAAGAGGAGTTCTCCTTCACGAGAGAACATGACAAGCTCAGAGAACATCAGGGACCCCTCAATAAACGCCACCCAGCCTTTCAACCACAATGCTTTGTACTCCCCCAACCACACCAGTCTCTGCTAGTCCAGAATTGGCTGCCAAGAAACACATCTAGTGCCTGGAATGGTTACAGGAACTGGGCCTGGCTAGTCTAGGGAAGAGAAGGACCAGGGGAGATAGGATAGCAGTGTTCCAATATTGGAAGGGCTGCCACAGAGAGGAGGGGGTCAAGCTATTCTCCAAAGCAACCAGACAAGGAATGATGGATGGAAACTGACCAAGGAGAGATTCAACCGGGGAAAAAAGGAGGAACTTTCTGACAGCGAGAGCAATCAACCCATGGAACAGAAGTTGCCTTCAGAGGTTGTGAGAGTTTCATCACTGGAAGCTTTCAAGAAGACACTGGACTCCCATCTTTCAGGAATGGTGTAAGGTCTGCTGGATGGGGGTTGGACTAGGTGACCTACAAGGTCCCTTCCAACTCTGTTAATCTGTTAAAGCCTTGTTCTAATTCCCAAACGGTGGTTGCATCTTAGGCAAACTTTTTGTATGCGAGAGCTGGCGAGCCACGCACAATGGCGGCCTTCTTCTGCTGACCCTGTTAGCAGACCCCCTCAGCCTTTAGGGGCTAATTAATTAACCACCACCCCCCCTGCTTCCTTCATCTCAACTTCCAGCTCAAGCATCTTCATCCGTTTTTTGCCTCCCAAATCTCTCTCTTTCTCCTCCTAGGAACAACCCCCCCCCCACTTTTTAGTGGACGAGGGGAGGGCGGTGTGTGTTGCAAGCCAGTTCAATTGCACAAGGAATTCAATCCAGGAGAGAAAAGAGACGAAGGGGTGAGGGGGGGGGGTGTTGAGAGGGATTGCAAGCTTAATTGAATCCATTCAAGAATTAAGAAAAATTGTTCCATTCAACTCAGGGTCGGTTTCAAACGGGAGAAAAGAGGAGACTGGGGACAAAGGACATTTCCCAGAATCTACCTTTGTAAAGGGAGTCTAGCTAGAGAGGTTTTCTTTTCTCTTGCTAAGTTTTTTTCAGAAAAGTAAGCCAAAAGGAAAAAAAAACCAGCTCTTTGTGCTTGGGAAAACTTTAATGAAGTGCCCAGGAAAATAGGCACTTCTGATGTGCGTGAAGGATGTGCCTGGAAAATGCAGAGTTTGGAGACCTTGTGTCCCTGTTGACCGACCAAGCTCTGGATGCAGGAATTCTCATGTATTCTCATGTATTTCAATATTAGGTAAAAGGTAAAGGTTCCCCTCGCACATACGTGCTAGTTGTTCCTGACTCTAGGGGGCGGTGCTCATCTCCATTTCAAATCCGTAGAGCCAGCGCTGTCCGAAGACGTCTCCGTGGTCATGTGGCCCGCATGACTCAACGCCGAAGGCGCATGGAACGTTGTTACCTTCCCACCAAAGGTGGTTCCTATTTTTCTACTTGCATGGAGCCGAGGTGGCGCAGTGGATAAATGCAGCACTGCAGGCTACTTCACCTGACTGCAGTTCTGCAGTTCGGCTGT